ATAAGAGCAAACAAAAAAACCCAGAAAATTGAACTAGGAGTGGGCCTTTGTCCACTCCCCAGCTCTGGGATTGGTCAGCCCTGGGCGGGACATGGTGCAATCAGCGGCTGATTGTGGAACCTTGAGCTGATTGCTTTTCTTTCTCTGTCTCTGTTTTGCCACACTAAAGCAAGGATGGTTATGGTAGCCGACCCACTGAGTGATACAAATCTGTATGGAGCGCTTGTCCTTTGCCTATTAGGAGGAAGGGCTTGAAAAACACTAGCTGTCAGTGTGATTGGGGGAGAGCTAAAAGACTTCAGGAAGCAAGACCACGGGAAACCAGACGTACTGTTTCCAGGGGGTGTTCTGACACTTGGGGGTGACACCGATCCAATTCCTGGGGAGAGTCCTCCCACTGAAGTGCACATTTGTGTGGGGAGAGCCTGGCTTCTGTAACTACCACAAGAAGGGTGGCCTTCGGGAACAACACTTGGTTCTCATACAGCAAGGACCAAGTGGCCATGGGAGGACAGCTGGGCACTGGGCTGAGCTGGGGCAGAGGAGCTGGAAGGGAACAAGCTAGAAGAGAAGAGGTGAGGCCGGGTGTCAGGGACCCTGCACAGGGCCTCGGTCCTCAGGACAGAAGATTTAGGGTGCTGTGAGGGCACTTTACTGGGTAATGGATTTTCAGGGAACAACTCTTTTCCTCTTTCTCCTCTTCTGACTGTGCCCACATGCCTGTGGAGCTCCAGTTCTGGTCCTTGGCCCAGTTTGCTTGGATCCTAAAGATGAGACCACCCATGGGCCTTCTGCACTACTATACACCAAGCGCTTTAAATCCATGTGCAGGCACATCAGACCCTGTGCCACGAGAGGCCACGTCATTTTATAGATGAGGAAGGAGGGGTGGGTGTTGTGCAACTATATTTCCATGAACCTAACACTGGGTTTTATATTAATTTTTGTTCCAAAAGATGTAATAGAGTTCATTTTTCAGGAAGTGTCTTATTTTGTCCTAGTTAACAATCTATATTTATTCATATATGAAAACCTAAATTTACTCAAATACAGTCATATCATCTTCTGGAGCATCACCATTACTCTCCAAGTTATGGCCCGAATGTCTTTGACTCCATTTCCTGCTGAAGGCGGTGGCCTCAGTCTCTCATGTCCAGCAGTGGAGCTCTCCTCACATGAGCGCTTCTTGTCTGCGGAGGCTGCGCCCAGTGCACAGGCAACAGGGCCGTCAGTGCCCTCATCCCATGAATTCTTCACCCAAGCCACGACCTCCAGTGAGCGAGGCTTCACAAAGCTCCCATTAAATCAAGTGTTAATCGAAGACTTAGGAGGCAGAAGCAGCAACAAATATGAAGACAGTTAAGAATGATGGTCTAGGGTCGGGGGAGATTGTTCAGTAGAATAAGTGCTTGCCTGGCAAGCGTAGGGACGCAAGTTCAATCCCAGGTACCACAAAATAAAAAAAAAAAGAAAAAAAGAATGATGGTCTATACAAGTGACAAAAAAAGTCACGCCCCAAAATTCACAAAATGTTTATTTCACATAGAGTACACCAAGTATTTCTGCTACAATGCACAGCATATTGGATTATGAAAATTCATTTTACACAACTATGCACATTCATTGTCAAGTACACAGGTTATTACTTAAAGGTCTGTGACCTTGTGTCTGTGCTGTGATTGGTCATTTAGCATAATCTTTTTTTATTTTTTATTTTTTAACTATTACAGATAGGACATCTGTATAGTCATTTATTTATTTATTTATTTATTTATTTATTTATTTAATTTTTTCCATAATTTTATTGAGAAGCAAATAGCAATGAGGCAGTTTCAATTCAAATTGGTAGGACAGTTTCAATAATTAACACACCGCATACTGTCTTCCTAGTGGTTATTTGTTATACAAGATGCAGACATGATATCCTATTTACAAACCCTATAGAATAAATCCCTCTATTCATTGAATTAAGAGAACGTAGCTATATATCTATCCTAACCATTTTGAATACACAGATACAAAATGGACATTCATCTGTATACCCTTTTTTTGTTTAGTTCTGTCATTTAAATATTATAGGTGTGTGAACTCAACAAAATATTCTAAAAGAGTCCAGTAGCCCATAATAGTATTGGGTCTTCCGCTGGACTGGCAATGTCAGAAATTGTTGACCTGAGTCCCCTACAGCTCAACATAACACCATGGCTTTACTTCTTATACTTTGTTTTTATACTTTTATGCTGGACGGTTAAGACCAAGATAAAGCAAGACCTACGTAACAAGAATTATAGCTTTTGTATCTGATAAGGTCAGTGAAATCCCCTCAGGATTTATCCTGAGACCCTGTACCTCAATTTGTGGATCCTTTGTCACATTTAGCATAATCTTGAGTTCATCTGTTTATACAGGCTTTTACCTCTCATCCAAAGGTAGTTGGGTCTTTACAAAGCTTAATTACAATTTATATTATCATTTACTTTAAGTATTAATGACATCATTCGTAACATTGACTTATATTTAATTGTGTATTAATATCATTTTATAATTCAATATGTTTGTTGTGTGTTGTAATATAGTACTAAATGTGTCTGTTTATCTTAGCTGGGGCTTATTTTGGGGGTAGGGCTTGTATTGCAAGCTTTCTGAAAAATCATGCTAGGGCTTATTTTGTAGTCAGGCCTTATTTTCAGGGAAATATGGTACTGGGCCATGTGTCACCCATGGCTAGGATACATAGAGTCAGAGTGAAAATCATTCTCCATACTCCCCAAAACTGAACTTCTTCCAGTGTTCCCATACTTTGCTTCAGTTTCATATGGTTTTATGTGACATTCCCAGTGCTCTGTGCCCTACGTGTGAATCTCTTAGAAATGTTTATGAATTTTAAATCATCATCACGTGAGGAGAGCTGACAGTTACTGGGTTCCTGCTATGAGTGGTCATGTTGCCTGCTCACGTTCTTCTGAGCCCAAGGCTGGTGGCATAGCCGGGCAGGAATCTGGTCTGTGACATTTTGTGGCACACATAGCCTTAACTCCAGTTTGCTTAGAGCCCCTAGGCTGGGGCAGGATGCCAAGCTATGAACATATCTTCCTTGGGTGATGCATGTGGTTTTTGCATGGTAGAGGGCCCATGCATGCTCTGGGAAGGGTGAGGCAGGACGATGAGGGTTGTGGAGGCTATTTATGGACACTGTGACCTCCATCTGTGGCACAAAGCTGTAATAACCCTTATGATTCACCAGCCGGACTTCCCTTTGCCTTAGGCAGATCCTGTGCTTTTCTACCTGTGGGCCTTACTACTTACCACCTGTGGAGCACGCTGGCCCACTGCACTCCCTTGCCTCACCTACCCAAGGACACCCACTATAGCCACCACCTCTTCCTGGGGAAGCCCCCAAGGACTGCCATGGAAACCTTTTCACTTCAAAATCTGAACCAAATCATGTTTTCTGTATCCAGAGAAAGGCAAATGGAAGACTATGCCTGCTTTGAGAAATTTGAGAAAACGTTCCCCAGGGTCACTTGGGGAACAATCTTCGTTTGTGATAGCCTTACTGGGTGAAAGTGCCGGGGTCCTGGAGTATTTCCACTGGCAGAACCACAGCCACAGTTGGAATGCTGGTGACTTTGGCAAAGTCATTGTTTGTACTCAAACCCACGCTCTATCAGCTGCACAGGCACTTACACCTGTGTCAAGGTGCATGTCTCTGACTTAGACCCCCAGGGGCTGGGCAGATAGAAGGGCTGATGGTGACTGCATGTGAATGCAGGCTCTGGGCTTTGCGGTCCTGCTCCTGTCCTCCTAAGAGCTCCCACTGTTTCTATCATAGCACTTCATTTTCTACCACTTCCAAGACTTGCTTCTTCAGCTCATTCTACACCTTCCCATCCAGGCCTCTTGCCTTGCACAATTCACATGCATTTTTCTCTGGGGGTGCTTTCACCAAAAGCACCAGTGGGGATGGTGGTGACCCTGGGGGATTGTGTGACGTGGAGGCACTGGAACAGCAGAAAGGCAGGTGCTGGAGGGGAGCATTTGGATCCTTACTGTCCTTCTGTGCCTAGGGTGGTGCTGCACCCAAAGTAAACTGAATAAGTATTTGTTGAAAGAATGAAAAAGACCCCAAAGAGAGTTTGTTTCACTGGTGAAGAAGCAGTGGGTGAGCGGGGTTGGAGATTCACCCCAAGCCTGCTCAGCTAGTGCTCAGGCTGTGCCTGTTTGCAGCCTGTTTGCTCCGCTGGCTTTGGGAAACTGCATATCTGGTCTGCATTGTCCATCTATCAAATAATAGCTTGAGAAATATTAACGTCCTTCCCTACATGGATCAGGCCCTCTGCTAAACTGGGATGAAGCAACAATCTGTCATCTAGCCTTTCATTTAAATCAAATCGTGAATTAAATCGCACAATGCAAAGAAAAGAAGACTGTTTGGTTTTGGAAGAAAAACCCTAACCCAACTGCGAGTAGCTGGAGTCTACAGGACCCCCTCGGCCTTCCCAACCCCATTCTCCTCCTGCCGCCTCCCTTTTGTGAGTCTCTTCCCCTTTTTGCTTGCAGCGAGCTCTGCTCTCCTGTAGGCTACAATGTGTCAGTTGTTATAAAATCCTGGGGGCGGGGTCTAGTGACGAGAGCGCCGAGGGAGCTGCCAGCCCTGCAAGGCGAGCAGTCGGCCCTGAGTTCACCCGGGCTTCAGCGAGGAACAGGAAAACTTCCATCTCGCTCTCCTGGCTTTGATCCTCCCTGGACATCAGACCCGAGTCGCCGAAGGGAGGGAGGATGCGAGATGAGCGGCGCTCTGGCAACCTGACCATCTCTCTCCTCAGCAGAGCCTTCCGAAGCGAGCTGGGCGCTGGCTGCACCACCCAGAGGCGCCGTGTGTGCGCGAGTGAGCCAGCGGGTGTGCGTGTGTGAGTGAAGAGTGTGTGGATGTGTGGATGGGTGTGTGCACATCACGACCGTGTGTGTGTCTGGATGAGTGTGTGTGTAAATGCATGAGTGAGTGTGTGTGCACATACGCCAGCGCTTGTGTGTGAGTGCTCTTGGTTATTTTGGGGAGGAGAAGAAAAATCTTGGAAATTTGGACAGAGTACCGGGTCCTGGTGATTCTTTTGCAAAAAAAGCTGACCGGAGTGAGCTTTCAGAGCCATTTCTGTGTGGGTAAAGAGATTTTCCTCAGAGAAGGATTTCTGCTCGGCTCTGCAGCCCAGTGAGAGATCAGCCCCTAAACCTAGGAAATCGACCAGTGCCTGCTGCTCCCAGGGTTTGAGAAGGACTCGAGAAGAAAAGGAGCGATTAATCAAACAGTGTGTCCGTTCCTTTGGCCACATCAGAAGATGTCATCTCAAACTAAGTTCAAGAAAGACAAAGAAATCATTGCTGAATATGAAGCCCAAATAAAAGGTGAGAGGCAGCCAACTGTTCCTTCTCCTTCCCTTCCCTTTTCTCTCACTCTGGCCTTTTTTGTCCCCTTTTCCTCCCTGCCGTCATGAGACGTTGTTATGCATCAATAATCTTATTGTGGTAGCTGTACAAGTCTGGGCTGGTTTCAGCCACAGATAGAGTGAGGCTGAATGTGGAGTAGAGAAAGGGCAGCGGCGTCTGCATTGCAGGTGTGTGAGGAGGACCCTACGCGTGAGGCTGACTTTGGGAGTGTCGTGGCTACTCCATCATCTTGGCGCTGACAAGTCCTTTAAGGCCATTTTAGCTGTACTGCCTCCTCCCCTTGCCTGTCACGGTCAAAAGCCCCTTCCTACAGATGTGTGTGCTTTGCAGGCGACTCCCCGCCCCCCTTTTGGTTTCTGTTGTTGGTAGTGGTTTTGCATGGGCCTCCTTCTCTGAGCTGGAATTCGCACTCCTGTGTTCAGGGAGGCAGCATCGTTGGGCGGCTCTCTTTGTCGGTGTCTCCCGCCTGGCCTGGGTTGCCATGGATGAACTGTTATGGGGCATATTGATCTGGAGTAATGCAGGCAGTTAGGCAGTAGGAGAGCGTGCAATGCAGAAAATGTATCATCTCGCCATGTGCAGCCCCGTCATTCTGTGCTCCGGGGTTTAGGGTCAGCAGCTTTGGTTCCAAGCCAATAGCTTAGTGTGCAGTCCGGCTGTGGGCGCTGCCTGAGGGAAGCCTTTGGGAGATCAAGATGACCTCTGGCTACTTGCTCCAGCTCTGTGGCCACAGAGCACCCATTTCTTTCTGAAGCCACTCCCTAAAGGCATGCTGGCTGGGAGAAATCAGAAAAGGTACACAATTGCACAGTGGAAGGCTGGTGGGCAGCATCTGTGTTCAGCCTAGACAAGGGCTGCTCATATCCTCCCTCATTCCGGGATCCTGTTCAGCAAGAGCAGCCTCCAAGCTCTGTGCTGTCTCTTCTCAGAGAATGTTCTCTAGGGAGAAGCCAGCACAGGCTTGTGGCATCCTTCTCTAGTCAGGGTTCTCCTTGCGGTGACACCGAGTGTGTTGTGGTCTTTTCCATAGAGTAAAGACACCGTGCCTCTTCGGTGGACATGGAGGCCTACCTCCGAGCTAAGCTAGGAACTGTTGAGCTGATGGTTGTGGAGGTGCAAGAGACCAGAGATGGCCACACCTGCTCCAGCCCAAGTCGTGATCCAGGAAGTTGGGTGGCCTCTAGGGGAGGGAGTGCAGGGAGGCGGGGCATCTGAGCTGCTGTCCAAGTGTCAGGCCCCAGGGAAACTTGGAGAGGACAGCCGTTGCTGGGGGAGGCTTTGTTTTTGCCCCTATCTTGGCCAGTCTTTTTTCTTTTAGTTCTGATCAAACCTGGCAGCTAATCACCTCTGGGTAGACCTTAGAAAAAAGACCAAAAAATTCTCCTCTTCCTTCGTGGCATCCTCCTTCGGTTTTAGTTCAATGTCAAAAACAGGACTTGGAATGTTTCTGCCCTGCTGAGTTTTTAGAAACCAGCCCTTCGGTGGTCAGAGATTTAAATTCACACAACCACTCAATACAGAAGCTTCCTTACAGTTTTTGAATGTATAATTTTTAAGGGAGTTTATATTTTATAAGACCATTTTGAATACTGTTGATATTTTTATAAGTGAAGTCGTTATGAAAAATGCTATAATGGAGAATGGATATTGAGGCTTGGACAGTTGGGGTTTTATAAGTATTGTTTGGTAGGAAATGTGCTTAATTCATTGTTCAAACATTGTTACTACAGGGCCAGTCAGCTGTACCTAAGAACCAGTTAAACATTCATTGTTCTGGTTGATTTTTTTATGTTTAACTTTTTACATTTATTTTCATGACTAGTTGGCAAATACCTGTAGTGAATTTCATCAGGAAATTTGTCTAAGTGATCTTGTATCTTCTGTACTCTAAATTTCTCTGCATTGTGATTGAAGGAGTTAATTTTATTCCTTTGGAGCTGATGCCCATGAGATTTAGGTCAGAATATTGCTGCTGTACCCTGAAACCCTCTGAAATTTTTGCTTTCAAAACTGTATTTGTTGAGCTGGGGTGTAGCTCAGAGGGAGAGTCCTTGCCTACCATGTGCAAAGCCCTAGCTTCCATCTTTGGCATTGCAGAAAGAAAACAGACTGCTTGCTAGTCACTATTGTAGGTGCTGGTGTCTGCTCAGGGCTCTGCTGGCCTGAGACAAGGTCCCAGTACCAGTGTTCTCAGCTTATATGAAGGGCAGGGAGGCTGGGAGGAACTCAGCTACAGAGATGGAAGACAGATGCCACCCACACTCAATGACTTGCCCAAGGTCTCAAGGCCAGTATCCCTCCGAACCTGGTGACCCTGAAGCATTGTTTTCCTGATACTGTCCTTGGAAGACGGATGTCTATGGCAGATGGCTGAACAGGGCTGGGGACGCTGCCTCTGGCTGGTGTCTATTGTTTACCCTTGAGTTCCCATCCCATTGCCTTCGTTTCTTGTCCCTGAAGATTATCTGACCAATGACTGACAATAATGCTGATGCCAGGTACCACCCCCCTATGTCATCTGGCCAGCTGGGTGTGAAGAGTCCACCCACGTAGTTTTTGTGTACTGTATATTTTGTGAGGGGGATTTCTGGTTGTTAAAAATAATGTTGAGTTCCTTGTTGACTTATTCCTTTTTATCCTTTTGAAGTATTTACTGCTTTGACAAAACAGAATATTTCACAACAGTATTTTTTCTATTGTTAACATTTTTAGACTCATGCCTTCTTTCCTCATCAGATATTTGAATGTTTCCCAACCAACAACACAGTAGTAGACCGTGTTTGCCTGTTTCTACTGATGGAGATCTTAGCATCTCTCAAACCCACATACTACCTTTGGATGGCTCAGGCTCCTTGTTTTTGCTTCTTTTCAGTGTTGTATGTGTGCGTCTCTCATCTGCCTATTGGTTGACGTTTCTTCCTCTTGGGACTCACTGGGTGTTGGGAGCCTGTTATCACCCCCACTGTGATTAACCTTCGTTGCTTACATAAGATGGTCCACAACTACTTTCTGTCCTCATTGGTGTCCAGATCAGCTGCATTTTGGGTTTCAAATTCAGCGTCTTTGGGCACTTGGCAGGTAGAATGAATGAGTGAAAGTGCTATCAAGACAGTTGGTGGCCTGTGCCTGCCACTTCACTGAGGGCAACAGAAGAGGTGGTGACAACTCTGGTGCACCTGATGTCCCGCACATGCCCATGCCCTGCCTAAAGGGGAAAGGACAGTCAGACTTGGGTTCGGCCAGTTATTGCCTCTTAGGAGGATAAATCAGCTAGACCTTTCAGTTCTGCAACAGATGTCAGAAATCCAATGGAAGCTTTATGTTTTTAAAGAAGTGTTACAACAATAGCAGCAGCAACAGCAACAACTCTCCCCTCCAAAGATCTACTAATATCTTATTCCAAGAGTGGCACTAATTCAAAAATGTGGTCAAAGAAAGAAAGCAATTGTCACCTCCTTCATGTTGTTGTAACACTTTCACTAATGTATCCCAAGGTTGAGTTAGCCCTGTGGCTGCCCATCACACTCTATTTGCTGTGCTTAGATAGCAGGTTGAGGGAGTGGCTGCTATACAAAGTAATATAACCTACGAGGTGGGGAGTCTTAGCAGCGAGGAAGACGAAATGAATTCATTCTTGGTGACCCCAAGCTGGCTCCATATGGATGCTGCTTCCCGTCCAAGTGCTCATCAGTGTGTCTTAGAAATCTGTTCAGGATCTGCGCCTGGGAGCAATATCACATTCTCCAGTTGGGAGTTGGCAAGCTGTAACTTCTTTCTCCCTGAAAATCAGAACAGCATTTGCCTGTCTCCACTTTTTGGCCCCTATCTTATGCTACATGATTCTGTCAGAAATTCCCAGTGGTGCTTGGTGATCTTAATTGTAGGCATTTTCAGTGTCTTGGGCTTTAATTCATCTTGGTGCCAGGCATACGGGCCCATTCTCATTTATACAGAGTTTCTATTTCCATTTCATGGAAAATGGAAATAGAAATATGCTGATCACAATGTATTAATTATTGTAACCATCCTACTAACCTGTTTTGAAACTGTTTCATTGCTTTTTTATCTGTTTTCTCATTAAAATGAATTTAAAAAAGAAAAAAATACACTGATTGACTTTAGTGGCTTTTTTCCATAATTTTATTGAGAAAAAATAGCAATGAGACAGTTTCAAATCAAATTGGTAGGATAGTTTCAATAATTAACACATTGCATATTGTCTTTCTAGTGGTTATTTGCTGTACAAGATGCAGACATGATATCCTATTTACAAACACTATTAGAACAAATCCCTCTATTCATTAAGAGAATGTAACTATATAT